AATAATGTTTATTTAGTTTTTAATTAATTGCAATAAAAGAATATTTTAATAAGTTTAAAAAAATCCTATTTCGTAGCATTAATAGCTATTATATTTAATCATTATATTAATTCTTTTAGCCTTTTTATAATTAAAGAATGCTTAAAGGCTATTAAAGCCTTAAAATTTCCTTGCTTATTAAAGGATTTAAAATATTTTATTAACCTTATAAGCTATATAAAATATAATGTTTTATATTTTATAATAAAAATTAAGCTTTTTAAATAATAAAAAATAAATCTTTATTAACTAAATATTTTAATAAAGCTAAAGGGTAAAATAGCTTAAAAGAATTAAATAAAATAAATTATATTTATCTTGCTTAGCAATATAAAGAAAGCTGCCTTTAATATTATAAAATAAAACTTAATTAAGTTTATATTTATTATATATTTTAATTTAAAAAGGTATTTATTTATTAATTTTAATATATTTATATTTAAAATTAAAGTATAAGTTTATTATATAATAAACTTAGCCATAAGGAAATTTATAAAAAATAATTATATTATTATATACTTATTATAAACTTTAATTAAAATAATTATATATCTTAATTATACTTTATTTTTTATAAAATATTAATATTAAGCTATGGAAATAAAACTTTTTAGCTATATATAAGTACTTAAAAAATGTTAATATTAAATTAATATTATTAAGTATTATTTTATAATTTGCAGAAATTATTTAACAATCCTTATTCTTTTTAAATAACTTAATATTATTAACTTTATTATAGCTTTAATAAATAATAAGAAATTAATTTATGCCCTTAAATATATTAATGCTTTTAAAATTAATTTATTATATAAATTAAAAAGAAAAAATGTTATATTAAATATATTATTATATATATTATTATTAAATATATTGCTATTAATTAAAGATAATAAACTAAATATTTTCTTAAATAATTAAGATAAATATTAATTATTGTTTTTAAAAACATGCTTAATAATTTTTATAATATCTTTAAAATTAAATTTATAAAATAAAAATATATATATTAAAATATCTCTTAATTTTCATAAGTACTTTTAAAATAGCTATTAAATAAACTTTTAATAAGTAAAAATTTTAAATATAATATAATAAAATAATGCTTTTTATAAAAATAAAGCCATTTTTTTATTTAAAATCCGCTTTAGCCTTATTTAAAAAATATTAAATAAAAATAAAACTTTTTATCTTTATATTCTTTAATTATATATAATTAAAATCTTAAAACTTACTTATATAAATAGTTATTATAATTATACTTAATTTAGCGAATTCTTTTAGCTTTTTTATATTAAAAGATTATATTTTAAGCTATATAAATTTACTTATTACTACCTTAATTATTAAGTTTTTAATATTAAAAGATACAAAATTTATAAAAGCTTATAATTATTCCTTAGCCTACTATATTTATATTATTAAATTATAATAAACTTTATTCTTAAACTTTTTTTAATAAAAAGCTATAATTATATCCTTTTAATAATTTATAAATTCTTAAAGAATTTATTATTAATACCTAGAAAATTAATATAAAAAGCTATAAAATAAGCCTCCTTTTTATTATAATACTTACTTTAAAGTAATTAAAGTTATTTAAAAGTTATTCTTTTAAATTAAAACCTTAAATTCTTATTAAGCATTTAATTATTAATATAAAAATTATTTAAAATAAAGCTGCTTTATATAATTATATATTATTTATAAATTAATAGCTAATTAAAAAAATAATATAAACTATTAAATTTACGCTTTATTATTTTATTTATAGCCTTAATAATTTATAAAAATAATTAAATACTTTATTATAAATATAATTTAAATATTATAATAATAAATCTTAAGTAATTAAAACTTCCTTAAATGAAATTATTAAAGGCTTTACCTTAAATAATATCTTAAATATTATTATAAACTAAGTACCTTATTAATTATTAAACCTTCCTTAAAGCTATATTTATATATATAATGCCTTAATACTTATAATAATAATAATAAAAGCATACTTTAATAAATAATATTTTATATAATTCTTTAAAATTAAAGTATAAATATTACTTTAATTATATAAAAAATATAAAAATTTATAAAATATTAGCCATAAATATAAACTATAATATATAAACCTTTTTAAAATTATAGAAAGAATTAGCTATTTTGCATATTAACTTAACTTTTTATATATATAAAAGTTAAAATATAATATTATTTTCATTAACCACCTTAAGCCATATCCTTTAAATTTATTTAATTAAAATATATCTTAAATTAAACTTATTTAAATTAAAAATTACATAAAGCTTATAATTAGCTAATAATACTTAAAATTAAAAGATATAAAATACCTTATTAAATACATTAAACTAAGACTTAAATTCTAAAAATAAATAATCTTGCTATAATTAAAACTTAACGCATAATCGTTACTTAATAAATTTACTTATAAATAATTATTTATTATAAACTTAATATAATAATTATTATTAATAACTATTATTAATAACTATTATTAATAATTATTATTAATAATTACCATTAATAATTATTATAATAATTTATAATAATATTTACTTAAAAACTTTAAATAAAAAAATAAAATAAATATAACACTACTTAAAGCATAATTTTAATTCTTTCTTAAGAATTATAAACTTTTTCTTTTTTTTTATTTTTTTATTTATCTTTATTTAATAAAAGATATACTTAAAATAACCTTATAATTTAAGCTTATTATTAATAATAATAGCGAAGAGAAATAAAAGCAAAAAGCTATTTAAAAATAAATTTAAATAATATAAATTTAAAATAAAGCGTTAAGCTATAAATCTTTTTTAAAATTTAAAGCCTTAAATTAAAAACATTAATAACATTATGCATTAAGATAATTAAGTTAACTTAATAATTATTATAAAAAACTTATATATTATATTATAAAAAATTTTAATTTTAATAATATTAAAATTAATATACTTAATAAGGCTATAAATTTCTTTATCCTTATTTACTTAATATAAAAGTAAGAATATAATAAAAAGCTTTTATAATTTATTAAAAGGCATAAAAAAAATATAAGTAATAAATATATATTTATAATAAATTATAAAATATTATTAATAAAAAATTTAATTAATATCTTTTTTATATAAATATAAAAATAAATAAATTAATTAAAAAAGCCTTAACTTTATTATATTCTTTATAATATTTATTTAATATAATAAATTATAATATTTTTTCTTTTTAAGCTAAATTTTAATTTAAATTTAAAGGATTTTTAAATAAAAGTAATTTTAATAAAAATGCTAAAGTTATTAAATTTATATATAATGAAATTAAAAAAAACCTACTTAAAAAACCACCTTTTCTTAATAATTACTCTTTTAATAGCAATTTTAATATCTTTATTATATTATCTTAAATTAAAGAATATAATTTATTAAAGAAAATTAATTAAAAAAAATTTAATATAATGCTTATAGCAAGTTTATAATATAATTTAAAGAAAATAAAATTTAATATATTTTTATAACTTATTATATTTATAATTAAAAACATAATAACTCTTTAATTTATATTACCTTTTTTATTTATAATAAAATATATTAATATTAATTTATATTCCTTATTAACAATGCCTTTACCTTTAATAAAATAATAAAAATATAAATAATATAAAATAAAAAACATTAAATTTATTATTAAAATTAATAAATAATAAGCTTAAATTATAAAATTATAATTAAAAAATACTAAATTAAATATTTAGCGAAACTTATTTTAAATATAACTTAATTTTAATATTATATATATTATTAACTTAAAAAATTAATTAATTAAAAAAATAAATAAATTAATACCTTAAAAGGCAATTATTATACCTTATTTATTAAAATAATTATAAATAAATTTAATGCCTTTTTTATTATTTAAGATATTATAAATATTATTATTAAATTATTTAATAATAAATATACTTTTAAGTTAAAACTTTTTATAAATAACTTTAAATTAAGTAAAGATATAAAAATAATTAATTATAAAAAATATAATAAATTATAAAATAAACCTTAAAATAACTTTAATACTTTAAAAAATAAAAATAAAAATAATTTAAGCTTAATACTTTACTTAAAAGATAAAATATAAAATAATTAATTTATTAAATGCACTTTTTAAAATTATTTATTAGCTATAAGGGCATTATTATTTTTTAAAGGGGGTAAATTATAAGGAAGGAGCATTACATAAACTCCTTATAGGCATTAATAGGTAATCCTCAGCCCCTCGGCCCTTCGGCATAAACTTAAACAAAATCATAACCAGAAACCAAATACAACCCTCTTATTGCAGAACCCCCTGACAGGCGTGCTGCCACAAATTTAGTGGACAAATACGATGCGAGCGAACCCAACGCCCCGCCCTAGCTTTAGGCAGACAACTGCATGCCGCAGCGATGCAGGCCACAACCACCCTTAAGCCGCTGAATGTTCAGCTGTATTTGGTTTGGCCACTACTCTGTCATACGTGCTTACATATACATATTCTGGGACATGATCCACTGAAAGCTGGTACTAAGCGAGTTACATCTGTACCTATTTGACCTATCCTAAATTTGATTATTTCGGCTCAGGTTAACCTTCGCTACGATTAACCGACCCCTTCAAGTTTCCTAATTGCAATGGCCACTTCCTTCCACTGGGACAGATATTAGTCGGGCGATGTGGCAAGGCTGGTGTTGCCCTCAGCAGAATGACGGTGATTCCGCACTCCAAACCACAGGGTAGTTATTGCGTCGCTCGGTGAGATGTCGTTCGTCATACCCCGAATTCTTAGTCCCTCTCAAGTTCCCAGTTGATAAATCGTACACGGAAAAAAAATCAACACCACAGTATCTCCGGCCATCCATGCAGCTAGAGGAGCAAAAATATGAATCGCGTTTGGTAAAAGATCGATCCTTCTTACTTCTTGCCACCCGTGGGCTCTGGCGCGGGGACGTGTACGGTTTCAATCTTATTTCCATCCTTGTCGAAACATTCCACCGTCATATGCCTCTGGGGATCCGCGCTTGCATGCTCTGCGTCCCTGTGTACAGTTGGTTAGTGACAGGGTCACCGAGTGAGGAGAGTCCGGCCCTGTGGGAATGATGATCTTGTGTCACTTCTCATGTCACTTCTTCCATACCTGGCAACCATTTCCACCGTCCCTGGCTTTGGACCCTGATCCCAAGCCTCGATATATTCTTTCAAGCGACCGCCAATTGACTCAGGTGCAGTCTCCAAGGGGCGCTTCCACCCCTCGGCTTCAGTGGCAACACCAATTCGGACTGATCCTGTCTTAGCCTTGGCGTTACCGGCAGCAACCTTTTTGAAGATCTTGCTGCCCGCGGTGATGGCGTTCCTTCCACCTTGACCAGACATTTTGAAGTCGATGTGTTTTATATATGGAAGAAGAAAGTGATTGAGTGAAAGGATTGGGAATTGACCGAGTGGAAAGGTGTCCACACGAGCAAGGAGCGTGAAATCGAGTTGTGCTTGTTGTCACGAGTATATTGTTCTGACCACGTTCAAACGAGGGCGCCTTTTATGTTCTTATGCCAGCAGCCGGTATACCTGTGGTCTCTTGCCATCATTCAGCCGGTTCAGTTCCTATTCCTGTGCCCCCTCCTTCGCATTTGTTAGCAAGTACGACCCTCGCACTTAGAAGGCTACTTTAGTTATCCCCTCCGGGGCACGTAGCCTCTTAGAACTTAGATAGAATAATATTAATATATAATTGCTTCCCATATGATTATTGTATATATAAGAAACCTATTAATATTAATTAGTAATTATAAGCATTATAAATTAATAAGATAAAAGAGGCAATTTTATAAGGATTTCTTTAACTTAAAAATTATATCTTTTTTATTGGTAAATATTATATAGCAATAATTGCTTTTTTAGGCCTCCTTATATTATTAAACTTTCTAAGTAAATATTATAAAGATTAAATAAATTAAGTAGCATTTCTTATAATATTTATATATATATTTATTGCTATTTAAGAGATATGCATTTATTATATATAAGACTTTATTAAAAATAAACTTATCTTTAAATCTTTTTTAAGACTTAATAAAACTTAATAAAGCTTTATTTTATTAATAAATAAAGCTTATAATTATTATAATTATTAAATAAATAAAGCTTATAATTATTATAATTACTAAAGCTAATATAATATTATATTATAAGTAAGTATAAGTTATATATTATACTTTTAATTAATATAAAAGGACTTAATAATAAGAAAAAGCCTTAGCTTTTAAGGCTTAAAGGAATTAATAACTTTTTTTTTAATAATTATAACTTATTTATTATTAAATTATTATTATTAACTTATTTTTAAATATTACTTATTTTATTAATATTTCTTTATTTTATTAATTTTACTTTTTATAATATTTATTATAAAAACTTATAAGTATAGTTAATAATATTAAAAAGTTATTAGTTTTTATTAAAGAGTATATAGTTAATAAAATGCTTATTTAAACTTTAATTAACTTAGCTTATTATAAATATATTAACTTAAAATTATAGTTTATGGCCCTTATATAAGGAGCATTAATAAAATACTTAATTACTTACTTAATAAGTACTTTAATAAGCTATATATAATAAAATCTTTATAATAACAATCTTTTTATTACTTATTATAAGGATTATATAATATAAATATAAGTAATATTTAAAGCATTATTAAATCCTTATTAATAATGCTTAAAAGTTTTTTTTTAAATGCAAGGTATTTATATAAGGCGTAATAATTAATTTATAATATTATAATTAGTTATTATAGCTTAAGCTAAAAAAAGATTAAAATAAATTAATAATAAGCTTTATAATACTTTATTAGCCTTAAAATTAAGTATAAATAAATATTATATATAATTTTAAAGATAATAATTATAAATATAGCCCTTATAAATATTATAAGTAGGCTTTAAATAATAATAATTATTAAAAGAATATTTTTTAAAATAATATTTATTATTATTATTAGCTTTAAGTGCATAATTATAGAATTTAAACTTAATAATATAATTTATTAAAAACTAATATAGCTAGCAAGGCTTATTATTATTAGCAAAGAAATAAAGATAAAGCTTATATTAAAAATATATACTATATTTAATATAACCTTAAATTGCCTTAAAAATGCCTTTATTAAATAAAAAGTATAATTTATATAAAACTTTTTTTTTATAATATATTTTTAATAAATATTTAAATTTAGTAAAGTTAATATAGTTTATAAAAATCTTTAATAACTTTTATAAATATATTAAGAATTTATATAACTTATTAAATAATAAAATAAAGATATTTTTTAATATTTATTATTATATTAAAATTTAATTAAGTTAATTTTATATAATTTTTCCTTAAATACTTAAAGATTAAGCTAAGGCTTATTATTTTTATTTTATAAATTAAATTAATATATTTATAATAATATATCTTAAAATTAAAATATATTTTAATATAAAATTTAATTATTAACATTATTATATAAATTAAATAATAATAATATTTATAAAAATAAAAGTATAAAACTTAAATAAAAACTTATATAAGATTTTATATTTAATGCTTAATAAGCTATAACTTTATTAATAAGTATTAAGTTAAGATTATATTAAGAAAAATAACTTAAGAATAATAATAATTAAAGCTTATAAAGAAGTTTTTAAGTTAAAAATGGCTTTTTTTAAGTTAGCTTAATTATATAAAGAATTATTTTTAAACTTAAGATTTATAATAAAAATATAACTTAACTATATAATTATAATTTATATTATAAATAAAGTTTTAAATTAATATTATATTAATTATAAATATAATAATTAAAAGCTAAGGGGAAAATAATAATTATAATTTTAAGCATTTTAAGGAAATTAAAGGTTTAATTAATTAAACTTAAGTTATTTAAGCTTTAAATAATTAAAATCTTATGGCATTAATTATAAAGCTTAAAGTAATAATATTTATAAAGAAGGAAGAAAAGGATAACCTTAAAAAAAAGATATTATATTTATAAGAAAAAGGAATATTAATTAATTAAATATTTAATTAATAAGTAATGTTTAATAAAAAGAAGCTATTTAATATAATATAAATATAAAGATTATAATAATAACTTTAATACTTTTTTAAGTAAATTTAAGGGATATAAGATAAATAATAAAGATAAATTTTATAAATATAAAGATAAATAAAATTAAAATAATAATTATAATAGCGATACTTATATTATAAAAATAAGATTTAATAAGAAGATTTATTATATAAATATTAATTTCTTAATTAATAAAGCATTTATATATTAAATTATAAGAAATAATATTAAAAACAAGCTACTTAAATAATAAGGGATAGGTTTTGCTAAACCCTTTTAAGGATAACTTAAGAAGGAGCTTTAATGCAATAAAGAAAGAAAATAAAAATAAAAGGGAATTAAAAAAAGGGAAAAGATAAATATTTTAAAAATTCTTAAAAATAAAAAAAGCTTAATTAAAGCATTAAATATATAAGAAAAGAAAAAAGTTAATTTCTTAAAAGAATATTTAAAATAAGTATAAAAGTTAGCTTTTTATAATTAATTAAAATTTAATATAATATTATTTCTTATATAATTCTTTATACTTATTAATATACCTTTTTTTAAATATTTTATAATAAATATTATTAAAATTATTAAAATAAAACTTTATTATTTTTAATTAAACTTTTAAATTTTAAAATTTACTTTATTATAATTTTAATTATTATTATTATCTTTAATTCCTTATTTATTTATCTTATTATAGCTTTTACTTTTTTATAAAAACTTTAAATATTTTTAAAATTTACTTAATAATATATTTATTAATTATATTCTTTTAATTATTAAAGTTTACTTTAATAATTAATATTAATATAGCTATTAAAGATTTAAATATTTTTATAAAATAAAAAGTAAATTTATTTTTTTTCTTTTAATTATTATATTAAGCATAATATATTAGCTTTATTAACTTTTACTTTTACTTTTTATAAAGCTTTTATTTTTATTTTTACTTTTTATAATATTTTTATTTTTAATATTTATACCTTATATTTAATTATTTAGTTAATTTATTTATAAGCCTTTTAAATTATCTTTAAATAAACTTTATTATTATTTTAATTATTTTAAGTTAATTAATATACTTTAAGTTTTATTTATATTTATTATTAAAATAAATAAGTAAAAAAGATCTTTATATATATTAAAATAAGTATTTTTTATTAACTTTAAAATATTTTATAATATAATATTTAAATTAAAAGTTTATTTAATTAAAATTATACTTAATTAATTTTAAGCTATTTAAAAGTTTATATTTTGCTATATATTAAATATTTAAAATTAAATTATTAAATTAATTTATATTAAAAATATTATTTTCCTTATATTCTTTTTATAATTAATAATAATTTTAATATATTATAATTTAAATAATTATTATTAAATAATATTTCTTTATAATAAAAGCTTATTTTTTATTTTAATTATTTTTATATTATTAATTTTAATAAAAGGAATTAATATAAATATTTAAATAGCTTTATTAATCTTATTAAGCTTTAATTAAATAATAAATATTTAAGTAATAATGCTAATAATAACTTTAAGTATTTTATAATATATAATTTTAATTAAAAAAGCCTTAACTTAATTTTATACCTTTTAATTATTCTTTTTTTAATTCTTTTTAAAGTAATTTTTAATAATCTTAATAATATATTATTTATAAAATATTTTATTAATTTATCTTAATTTTAATATAAATTCCTTATTAAAATCTTATATTTTATTTTTTAAAATAATTATTAAATATTTATAAATAAGTACTTTAATATTTTTATTTATTTTATTTTTTTTATTTCTTAATATAAAATTATTTTATAATAAATAATAATTTTTTATTTTATTAAAAATTATTATTATTTAATAATTAAATATATAAATAAATATAATAATAAATTTATAATTCTTTATTAATTTATATTATTAATATTTCTTAAATAAGGTATAATTATAATATAAAGGTTTTTTAAGTAAAAATATAATATTTTAAAAGTTAAAAAGTTATTAAATTATAAGGGCTATAATATATTAAGTTCTTAATTTTTTATATTTATAAAGCATTTTTTTTATATTAAAAAAATTAAAAATAAGGAAAGCTTAATATTATTTTATTAAATTTATTAACTTAATTAATTTTCTTAGCTTAAGATAAAGATTAATACTTAAAAAGTATTTTTATATTATCTTTATAAGCTTATTATTAAATATTATTTATTTTATATTAAAAAATAATAATTAATTAAGAATTTAAAATTATTAAATA